ATAGGAAGAAGTTACTGCTGAGTCTTGCTCAAGTGTTCCATGGAGCTTTTGAGTTCAAGGGAAAATGGCTTCCCCTCTCCTTCATCATTCAAAAGTAGGTTTGAGGATCCTGTCTTTTTTCTTCTTTCTGGTTTCAGTCATCATTGTCAGTAGCTGATGTAAGAGAATGCCCTTAAATTAACCTTCTCCAAAAAAACTTTTGTGAAAGTCTGTCATTTGGGCATACTGAAATCTCTGCTTTAGTTAGCCTCTTTTACATCTTAATGTGCTTTTCAGCATATAAATTGATGCATTCTAGCAGGATCTGCAGTAATTCATATTACTTTGTACCTGACAGCATAGAGATCCCTGGTGTTCCTCAAGTTGGATTTTGACTTTTTTGTCTTTATATATAATGACTAGATTTGTGTCATTCCCTCATTCAAGAATTAAAGAATAAATCTGTCCTTTTTCTGAGGAGTGCTATATCCCATTGGTGTGACTTGTACCCTCTGGTATGGCATGTGGGAGCCATGCTAATGTGCTGTGGAGCCCCCAGCACAGATTCACTCAATTTGCAGGAGCTGCTTACACTTTTCAGCTGACAACACTGTAGAAACCACCATGGAAATACAACAGAAAGTACATTAGCCTTTACTATTTGAATAAATCCATTACAGTTACATATTGGTCTTGGGTTGTTGTATTATTCCCCTTAGTGTCTTACTCCTATTCCTGCTACCTTCTAACAGCAGAACACGTGTTGTTCATTAGTAGCATGGATGATATGGGAAACAAGAATGTTGAAGTTGTATTGAATATGTTCCAGATGTTAGTATCAAACAAGGTTGGGTCTGCACTGATTTCCTTCAAAATATTCTTGTTATTTGGAAGTGAAAAATAATTCAATACTGAACAATTCTCTAGAAATCTGAATTCACTAAACATTTGCCATTGTAAAACACACACCTAATAAATGGTTCACCTGCTTTCCATCTTCTGAAGGCATTAAGCAACTAAAATTTGATTGTGGTAGGAGCCAGGATTTGCTAACAAGATTAAGTGGTTACATGCTCCAAAGTTAAACAAAAGCCCAAGGATGGCTGTGTGTGCACACTTACGTTCTCAGCAGAGAAGGCGCTAAAGGCGTATGACCACACTAGAATGGATAAACTGGAAGATACCTTTGACTCTTTAAGTGCCAGATTGATGAGGATGGAGATGCAGGGGAATATCTGTACACGTTTGGAGCTGAAGAGGCAATCTTGAGGTGTTAATCGGATTAACTGACCCTAAAGTGTTGATGATAGTGAATTTTGGCAGGATATTGGTGTCTCTGATCCTGGTGAGGTTGGCAGGAAGAAGGTGTGGGGCTGTAGCAGGAAGCTGGGAAAGCCCAATCCAGGGGTTTGTGCTGAGCAGAGCAGTGGAACAGTAAAACCCAGGCAAGATGAGGCTGTGGTTTCGTGTCGGCTTTCAAATATAAATAGGTGGTGTGGAGGTGATAAACAATCAGATTAGAAGTGTCATAGAGAGGGCTTTCTGTTTTTTTCAGAGCGGTAAATATGCGTTTTGTAGGATTTAACTACATAGCGGAAGTAACTGACTCTAGTCAGAGGAAGGTGGCAGGAAGGAAGATAAGGAGGAGGGGTCTGTGAAGGAGTCAAGAGCTGCTAATTTGGATGGAGGAGAGCTCTTGCTGCTCCCACAGGAGTGACAGGGTCTTGTAGCAGCATCTGCCTTTCTTTGACTGGGACAGATCTGCAGCTATGGTAGGAAGGGCAGGAAAGAAACGTGACTAGTGAATTTTGAGCAAAAACCTCCAACCTTGCTGGCATGTAGGCAGTGTAAGAATAGACTAAAATACAGCATAAATTGAGAGATGATGGCAGAAGGAGCTGTCTTGTGCCATGTACAGGCTGAGCATTCAGTGGACTTCATGATCTAGAAGTAATTTTTCCCTTCACTTGGCACTACCTCCAGGCATGCCAGTGTATGTTGGGCGTGGCACTACACCCCAGTTAGTGGTTGGGCAAATATTTAAATAGCAGTGCATGAGAACTGGGGTTTGCTACTGCCAGCATGTTTTAAGAGAAATAGTGTTTGTGAGAGTCCTGAGTTCCTAGAAAGGGAAGTATGGGCCCAGGACAAAGCTACACAAGCAGCTATGTGAAACTTGGCAAAAATGTGACAGCTGGAGAAACCTCTGTTATTTACCCCACCAGCTTGCCTTGTAACATGGGCATTATCCCAGCTCTGTGGTTTGACTGCAGTGGAGCAACCTCCAGGAGATACTCTGAGCTTTGGTTCAGATTTCAAGGGCCACATCTCGGTCACTTAGGGGGCTAGTCTGAAAGCAGCTCTGTCAAATGCAGTAGCTGCCCCAAAACGTTGGTTTCTTACACTGAGCGGTTTAGAGCAGCTCTGATCACCCCTTCCCTCAAAACAGAGCTGCTGGAGGTGGCGTGGCCCAGCCCAGCAGGGTGTGTGGCCAGACACTGTGCAGCTGCAGTGGTGTGAGTGCAGGCCTACACCAGTAAGCCCTGCTCAGGACTGGGACAGCACATGGACTCACTGCCAGCACAGTGATGGGCTTTCTGCTGGAGATCTGGCCCTGTCCAGCCAGGGTGGAGTGCAGGCAGAGCAGGCATGCCTTGCTCTGCCCATCACTGTGCAGATAAGCCTGGCTGTGCATGGTTATCCAGGATGTGAACTTCTGCTCCCTCCGAGAATGTTTTCTTCTTGCATGTTGAGCAGAACAGAAGATCTTGGAAATGGGATTTAACATACATTTGGTAGGGAGGCAGAGCCTGAATGTACCAGTCACCATCATCTTCCTGCGGATGAGTCCTTGTAGGAAGTGAGGGGAATATCCAGATGTCTTCTCTAATTTTTTACTGCATGGAAATAGGTGTTCACAAGGAAATCACAAAGGAGGTATTAGCTCTTTCTCCTGAACTTTTGCTAAGGAAAGCTCAAGTTTTTGTCAGCAACTCCATTTCTGATTTTGTTCAGTCTTACACCTTGTTCATTGTGTGTGTTGTGTGTTATGATTGAAGCATCTTAAACATGAACTCTATTCTGGTCTGCAAGAAACAATTCAATGAAGAAGTGTTGCTTGGCGCTCTGTTTGCTCCCTAGCTCAAGAAATCCTTGTACAGTTTAGAAGAGCTTTTTTTGCAGGTTGTATAACACGATCTGCTGCAGGACTTACACATCAGTGGCTGGGCTAGTTGGTTAGCAGGATCTCTGGTCTCGTCCTGTACATCAGGAAAATGCGGCCTCTCTACTGGTTGTGTTATTTGTTATTGTTACAATTCTAAATATTTCTTTAAACATTACAAAGGGCAGCTTTTTAATGGATTTTTTTTTTTTTTTAAACTGAATATCATTACTTGGACTGATCCCATTTTGTGTGCGTGTTCTTTAAAAGGAGTTAAATAAAACCCCAAAAACTTCAAGTCCTCCAGGCTGGTGGTCAGTGCTACTGCCAAGCTCCTCATTTAGAGAGCAGAAAGTTTGTTTATGCTCTGTACCCCAAGCACAGGCATGCGTAATCTGTGCCTTGAGCATTGCCTTTACAAACATTCCTGCTCTGTGGGAGCTGGTAGGACATGCTCTATGCACTGGTGGGTTTCAGGAACGGCCAGTTTGCCAGGACAAGGCACACGTGGCCTGAGGCACTGCAGAAATCTCACTGTGCTCAGGGGCTTTGCTTCTTCCAAATAGTCTGGTTTAAGACTGTCTCTTTGACTCCTAAATAAATGCTCATCTGCAAACTGTATCTTGAAAAAACTGTGGTTTTAACCAGTAAAGTGTAGGTCAGTGCTAATATAATTAAACATTGGTGTACACCAAAGTCAGATGATCTCTAGTGCTTTAATATCTGACTCTAGACTTGACAAAACCAGACAGAGCTCTGCCATTTGATCAGCGGAGGATTTTCTTTAATTTTGAACTTTATTCAAAAGAGGCATTTTACTTCAGTTGCAGATGTACACTATCTGGAAAAAAAAATATACTTCTAGCTTATATTTCCTTTTTATGCCTGGCAGCCTCTGAACTGACTGGTTCATGTGAGTCTAATTCTTATCTGAGTGACTTTGGTGCAAATTGGGGGTTAAGTCAATTATGTTCTTCTGTGACCTTCTCGATCAAAAACCTGCTGTATCTGTTACTGTCAGGGGTGAGTTTGAGCAGTTTTGGAAAAGCAGGGCTGTGTTTCATAAATATTTGTCTTGATTTAGTTTCCTGAGATATAGTTTAAATGTAAACTGCTTGGTATGTTTCAGCCTTTGTGCTATCTTGCTCCATCACATCACACGGTCTCACGTACTATATAAGAGTATGGCACTACATCATGCTGTGGTGATTATTTGAAAGGGCGTACACTCTGTTTTGGACTAGATATCTGTTATCAGTGTAGATAATTGCTGTCAGACACAAAATAGACTCAGTAAACAAACATTTCATTTTATCATGTGACAGATGCCTGCTGTTTTGTACAATGTATTTGAACGATGTTCACTATAAATCAGCTCTGCTTCAAAAGCAATAAATCCAGCTCACCCAAATCCTTCCTGGTGTAATTACCTTTATAGTAGAGATTAACTTCTCATTGTTATATATACGTGAAAGCATTTTTCAGTGTTTGGAGATAACAATGTCTGACACAAACAAATAATTCACATCTAAGACAAACCAGTTCCTCTGACTGTTATCACTGGTGGTGGTTTGTTTTCTCCTTGGATTCCTCTGTGGTAACCAAAAGACTACCTTCAATTTTGGAATCCGTACTTGACATTTAGACTTTCAGAGAGAAATGAACCAATGAGTAGCATATTCAGGAGAACTTGAAAGGGCAAAAGGAATAAATGTCTTCATTTTGCGGAGAACAAACACGAAGCTTCTGCTTCTGTTCCTGTGGGTTTTCTGAACAAAAGGATGATCATTATTCGACAAGTGTAAATGATGTATTGCTTTTTTCTCCAAATAATGTGTATTTATGTCTTCTTCTTCAGGTCCTGTGCCTCTCAGTGAATGTGTCTTATCGCCTGTTAACAATTCACACCCAGTCCATGCCTTATTGGAAAGTTTTACCGTCTTATCTGGCTGTGCAAGCCGAGGCACGACGAACCTGCCACAAGAAGTGCACATCCTCAATCTCAGAAACCCTGAGGAGGGTCTTGGCCATCACGAAAGAGAGGTAAAGGGGAAATTACTTTTTGTCCCTGGTGACAAGCGTGTCTGCAAATGGCATTGTTATACATTCATTTGCTGAATAAAGGTACTTCTGAATTGTCACCAAAATACGACAAAGAAGCACGTGCAATTTGCATGAATATTGTCCCTATGCTTTGCATGTTGTGCAAGTAAGCTGCTTCCATACCCAGCCACCCTCTCCATCACCTTTCACAGCCATGAAGTATACTTAAAAAAGGTGGTGGGGTGGGCAAAGGAAATAAGAAACAGATTTAGTCTCCAACAGGCCTTTGCAGAATTGGCTGTCTTCAAAAGCAGATCATTTACCTAAATGTGTTGTAAATTAACATGAATACCTTTGGATCCCTGCCATGACCACTATATACAAATACTGAAATGCAGATTCTTTTACCTCTGTAATGCAGCCTTAATGCTTCACCGAGGGGGGGCTGCTGAACAGAAAGCAAGTGTTGTTGGCTATGGTGTCCAATTACTTTTGTGTGTTGCACTCAAAGGGATTGGCCAGAACTATAACTGTTCTGAAAGCAATAGCACAAGAAGAAAATTTTTGATTTTAAGTTATGCTGTGCTGTTGTTTACTCTCAAAACGCATCAAAACAGAGTGCCAAAGTGCAAAGAAAACATTGCAGGCTATGACAACTGAGCTTCTTAGTTCATGTTCTTACAGTGTTACACACACAAATCCTTAGTACTGTGTCCTTTGAGAGCAACATGTGTACACAATTAGGGAACTTGTAATGAGAGAGCAAAGATGCTGATTTTTGATGAAAATAGGCAGAAGAGTGTCCTTGCTGTGGGGACATGGTACTGGGAATTTGGAACTTCTTAGTTACTAAAGGGTGCTCAGGGATGGGATTAAGTAGGCTGCAGATGGAGCTTGTACCTCCCGAGAGACCAGAGGGAATCAACTGCCAAGTGCACATTTGCATAAACCCAAATTTCCCTCTGGTGCCGCTGGCGCTGCTGACGTAAGAGGGCAGTTTTGCAGTTGTGTGCACGCACAGCATGAGCGAATCATGCACGAGGGTGCAGGCTGTGCCCCTACTGCCTCATCAGCTTGACAGAATGGTAGAAGATTTAAATATTTAGCTTTGAATAAAAATACTTGCTGTCGAGTAGAAGGTGGCTGCTTGTGCCTCCTCTGATGTGCTTATGGTAAGAAAGCAGTTTGCCCCTAAGCTGTCTTGTCTCTGTACTTCAGGGATACACCAAAGTGTAGGGCACAGAATATATTTCATGATTTGTAGTCCTTAACCTCCTCCTCCCATTTCCCACTCAGTTCCCGGTCCCAGCCCTTGGAGATGGCTGCTCTAAAAACGCACAGGAAGCTGGAGCAAGGCTTGCTGGCAACAGTGTCGAACAGAAGAGTGTAAACAACTTGGAAAGATCAGATTTTACTTATAGAATCAGACTCTGAGAACAAAGCAGAGCAAATGTTATCTTTTCCATTATTGCAAAACCAATTCTGAGTGGCTTTCTGTCTAAAAGTAGAAAGTATCCATCACCTCAAGTTACATGAGCTTGATTTACCAGCTGAGGTATTTCCTGTTGCCTGCAAATGCTGATAGCAAAGGTAGAGATCTGTTTGTCACACAGTATTTCCAGTATACTCCAGAATGAAATCAGTGCTTTTGTTTGACAGTACCTTAGTTAGATTTAGCAGCATCGAAAGCGTGTTTAAAATAAATCCTGTATTTGCTCAGAGGTTGGCTGAAGTTCTGATAATAAGAAATGCAAGATCTGAAAATCTTTAAGTGAAGGCTTGCTTTGGGGGAGGAGACCGGGTTTTGTTTTGCTTTTAACCTGCCCTGTGCTAGAATGCTGCTAAATTACACATTCCTTACTTTCTGGGAGGAGTGTAAACTTCCCCTAGCAAATTCCTTGGAGGGCTCATGCATTAAACATCCTTGTGCAGTTATCCTGGTTCTCATAAATATGCAACGTACATGTATGCATTAATTTAACTGACTTTGACACTTGTGTAGAATATATAGACAACAAGGGTTTGAAAATTTAAACATTGGGGGGGTGGCTCATGTGAGGGGAGGGTCAAGGCAGGGGGGAGTATGTGGTCCTCCTGTAACACACTCTGGCTTTTCAGTAAAGGTTAGTAAGGTTTGGCTGCTTTTTCTTCCCTGTAAACTGGGGCAGGAGGTCGGAGGAAGAAAAAAAGACAGACTGGAAATGTATAGGATTATGTATTCTGAACAGTCTTTGCAAAACTGAATCAGTAATTTAGCACTTTCATGTTAAGGTTGAAATCTGTTAAATGTAAGGTCATATCATCAAATGCTGTAATCATATCTATGATCTTCAAGGAATTTGTTTGTATTTTATTTCATTAATCCCTGTTGGGGTGACATCTCATATGTTAAAACTGGGAAGACACTTTCTTCAAGTAAGAACCCCCCAAGTTCCAATCTCTTTCAAGTATTTCTTAGAAATGTCTTTTATCACAATTCATATTTGGCCATGCTTTATCATAGGAAATAGAATACGGGTGCATGTAATAGCCTCAAGTGTTTATATTGAACTTGGCATGAAAAATGCAAGCCTTTTCTGTTTGTTTTATTTGATCAAATATTCCTGGGGAAGTGAGTGCGTGTGTGCATTTCTGTACTGATCTGGGTCTCAGCTGAATGCCAGGAACTACTGAACTCTTACAATAACTTTCTCTTTGGCTTTGGGTATCTTCACCGCTTCATTTTCCCAGTTTTTAGAAAGGAGACAGTTGCTTTCTCATGGAACCTCTTGTTCTGAGAAAGAATTAGCTTTTGCAGAGGCACTTGGAAACACTAGGGATTTGCACCAGAAAAATGTGTATAGAAAGGCGAAAAAATTTTAAGATGAAAGTCGCTCCTTAGATGTATTATCAAGTCCTAAGTTAATGAAGGACTCTTTTATTATGCCTTTCAGTTGAATTTCCCTGAGCTGCTTTAGGCAAACAGTCCCAATTGAAATAGTTAAAGGGGGGAAGGAGGGGCATGTGAAATTAATCTCATGTGAATACTTAGGATTGAATACATATGAATACATGAAATCAGAGTTCCTGGCAATGGATTCACTATTGTTTTCGTTGACATCCTCATCCTCAAGACCTTTAAGATGTTATGCCTGATACAGATGTTTAACATGTGTTATGTGAAATGAAGTCAGGAAAATCAAGGACTTGTCTTTATTTTTTATAATTTTGAGTAATGCCACTGAGGCTGTAATAATTTGACAGACCTTTTTCCCCACTACTTAATTAGTGTTACTTGGCAACAATTTAATAATAATTTTAAAAAGTTTCCCTTGAGAGTAAACCTGATGTTAGTTCCTTGAACAGGTTAATTATAATTAGCCTGATACTTGTTAGTGATGTATCTGAGGTACTGAGCTGACCCACTTAGAAATTGTAAATTGATGAGCAAAATTATTTCAGTCCACTATTTAGGTACATTCTGAAGAGATCCTCTAAGCTGAAAAAGTGGAACAGGGAAGGACTCTGAAACAGTCACCTAATAATGTATTTCTACATTATGACTTACAGAGTATCCTGAATTCGGGATAATTCTTCTGTATCATGATGGGTTTGTATTTTAGAACTATGAAGATCTGGGTGATGAAAATCTAGTTCATTTTGCCTATTATTCTAGGTATTTACTGTGTTTCCCAATGTGTTTGTTTTAGCTGTTTTCACAAGTTTAATACCACAACAGCCTTACCCAAGGCTGTGTCAGGGAAAAATGTTTTGTTTCATGCTCAGACATCCCGAGATCCAGGAACAACCTTGAGATTCAGCTTGGATAAGGGGGCCACTTTCTGGTTGTATTTTAAACATGCTGACCTGTGGCACTAGTGCCATGGTCAGAGGGGGGCCTGGAGGTCTTTTGCTGACAGCAGGCAGGAAGGGAATTCAAGGTTTGTTATTCGACAGCTGGAATTAGTGAGGGTTTTGTTACCTATTCATTTGTTTGGATAGGTACACACTGCTGCACGTGGGTATAAATAGTATTTCTGGTAGGTCAAGAGGCCTTTGCTTTGAACTGAAATATTTGCTGCTTTAGAAGAAGCTTTGAGAAATAAAACAATGCACTGTTCCTCTGCTAAGGTGCAGACTGGATCTGAACATTGCAAGGGTATTTTGCTGTTCCTGCCTCTACACATTTTGACCCCCTTAGCTTGGCGGCAGGAGTGGATGTCTAGCTATGGCAGCAGACTCATAAGTTTCAATGCCAGTATGTAGAGGGGTTTTGAACCTTCAGCTTCTTCACTTGGCCGGCTCCACTCTTATGTGACGCCATTAAGGTTGACTTGATCTCTTCACCCTATTACTACTTGTTCCTTGATGATCTGTGGCTCATGAAGTTTTGCAGAGGCAACATTATCAGTCCAAACAAGACCTTCAGAGGGACAGTAGAAAATGCATTTGACCACCTGCAAACCTCTGTGTCAAATTTGAGGTTGACTACTGCTTTTTATTGCAATCTTCTTGCATGGTGTTTTTGAGGGAACGGTGCTACATCAGATCAAAAACAGAAAGTCCAGATGAATTACTGCTTTCACCAGTGCTCTGTGCCAGGGAGGTCTCGGAGTCAAATTGTGAGTGACGCTGTGGCAGACATACTCCAGGAACACCCTGTATTTGTTACTTGGAAAGCAGTAGTTCCTCATCACATGCATCTCTGATCCTGGGTATTTTCCAAAGCTTGCCTTACAGCCTGTGGTAGCTCCAGTGGCTTACCAGGGTTGTTTTGCAGGCTGCTGTTACTCCCTTTGCACACAGGCTTGCCCAAGAGCCTTTTCTGGGCTGGAGTGCTGGACTGAATCAGGAATTAAGCACGATGGACCTTAGAAAGCTTAAAAGATACTGGCAGCATGCTACACAGAAATTGTAATCATTCAGGGTCTGTCTCAGATAATGCCATGTCTGCTGAAAGCTGCCACTCCCATGCAGCTGATACACTGAAATGACACTGATGTCTTAATTGCCTTGATTGA